AAATACAAACTTTTTGTCTTCTTCTGCTCGGCCTCCAGTTCCCACTCATCTACCGCTACTTGAGTGGTACCGGCCTACCTGATACTTGAGTGTTTTCCTCTGCTGCTCTAGGTGTCGAGGGACTACTCCCGCTACTCGAGTGTTTTCACTGCTGCAACCCTCAAAGTCCCGGCCGCAGGTAAGTACGGGCCCTGCGGGGCCTTCAAACAAGCAAGTGCCCTTGCGGGTCACACACCCACTCAGGCCGACAAGCACTCAGACAGGCACGCAGACCAGCAAGCACGCACACACACAGACTTAGAACACTCAGCAGAACGCGTGAATCTCAGCAATGCATTCATTTCAGCGGCAAAACTCCGACATCAGCAGTGTTCTCAGTCTGTGTTTTGAAGGGTCATTACACTTTTTTTTTTGCTGCGTAAGTTTGGGGCTCGGTTTTGTCTGGCCTATTTTTGTCTGTTTCAGATATTTCAGTTCAAACTTTTCTTTTTTGTCCGAACAGGCAGACTGTTCCGACCAGTGGATTTCAGTTTTAATTTGGCCATTGTAGGCCAGGTTCAGATATTTGTCTGTATCTGGGACTGGACCAGGCATTCGTCTGTTTGTGCCTGGCCCAATCCTGTCCTAGTGCTGTTTGTGGCCAGGTTCAGATTTGTCTGTATCTGTGCCTGGCCTAGTCCTCAGGACCCTGCTGCACTAGCAGGGTTGCCTGGACGTCCGGTAGGGACCCAGGCAGGCTGTTTTTGGCCAGGATCGTAGGACCAGGATTTGGGCTGCAATCAGGACCATTGATCGGACATCAGAGCCGACGGTCGTGATTGCAGACCGAGGACTGCTGAGCCAGGCCCAGCGGTATATGGCTGGGCCAGTCTTCCACTTTGAGGACATTCGGGGCTGGAGCTTCAGTTGGGCGTCATGCTGCTGGAGCTGTGCCAGTTTGGGTAGAGCTGCGATAGAGCAGCGTTATTGGAGTAGAGGAGTAGGCTGGAGTGGAGAGGTTCGCGGAGGCCATGTCCATGGGGGAGAGAGAGACTTACCTGGGTGCCATAGCTGGAACTTCATACCGGTCATGAGACCGGCCTTCAGCAGCAACCTGCATTTGGAGTCTTCACCTTCTTCGTTGCGTTGGTCAGTATCCACGGCCTCATCATCAGGAGCACGCGAGAGAGGAGAGTTCTTCTTCTTCTTCTCCGTCTTCTCCTGATTCTTCTTCTTCTCCTCCTCCCTCTTTACCTTCTTCTTCTTCTTCTTGAGAGAGAGAGAGAGAGAGAGAGAGAGAGAGAGAGAGAGAG